CTACCCCAGGCGATATTAGCATAATTTAAATAACTGTGTATAAATGAATAATAAATTTTGATTAAAATTTTCTTATTGAGGTAGATTCGTGCTTTATATAAAACTCCTATGTTTTTTGAAATTTTAGTGCTTATGTAGTCGATATGATGATTCCAAGTGATGTTTTCATCAAGGTAAACACCTAAAAATTTTGTTACGGAATCCCTTTTTATTTCATTTTGATCAATAAAAATTTTAGGTAAGTTTAATGGCAAATATCGTTTTTTGGAAAGCGAATGGAATAAGGTCCACTTTGTTTTATTAGAATTTAGAGTTAACTTATTACATTTAAACCAATTCGATACATGTATAAGCTCTTTGTTCATTGTTTTAAAAAGTTCAAAGATATCACTGTTAGAAAGAAATAAGTTAGTATCATCTGCAAACATAATACTTGTTAGTTTAGAGGCTTTATTTAAATCATTAATATAAATTAGGAAAAGGAGTGGACCAAGAATTGAGCCTTGTGGGACTCCACATGTTATAGAAAGACAATTGGTGTGATAACCGTCATTACTCGGAACAAATTGTTTACGATTTGACAAATAGCTTTCAAACCATTTTAAAACTTTATTTTTTATTCCATAGTGTTTAAGTTTATGGATTAGAATTTGGTGGTCAACCGTATCAAAAGCTTTTGATAGATCAATAAAAAGTCCTAGAGTATATTGTGATTTTTCAAATGATTTTGAGATTTCCCGTACAAATTGGATAATTGCATGTTCAGTTGAGCTATCCTTTTTAAAACCGAATTGATTAATGTTAAGTAATTTATTAACATGAAAATATTTGTATACTCTGTTATATATAATTCTTTCTAAAATTTTTGAAAAGGTGGAAAGAACAGAAATAGGGCGATAATTACTTATAATTGATTTGTCCCCTTCTTTAAAAATAGGAATAATTTTGGCAATTTTCAACAGTTCGGGGAAAACACCTTGATGGATAGAAGCTTTAAAAACTTTAAAAAGAACAACTTTTAGCTGTTCAAAACAATCTATAATAACGTTTCCATTTATTTAATCTGCTCCAACTGCTTTATTTTTTTTTAAAGATTTGAAGGCTCTTTCAAACTCTTCAAACAACAATTCAGAAGACAACTCAACTGAACCAATGCAATTATCAATGGGTACTAGAAAATCAGTAAATAAAGATTTGGTGTTTGGGATTTTTTTAGAAAGTGTTGGACCTATATCGATAAAAAATTTGTTAAATTCTTGAGCTATAGTTCTTGGTTCGTATAAACTTTTGTTATCGACTCTAACCATTTGTGGCAGAAAACCTGAGCATGATTTTTGTTTTCCAATAATTTCATTCATTATTTGCCATGTGCGTTTTGTGTCATTTTTAAATGTATTGAGTAATTGGGAGTAATAATTTTTTTTTAGATTTTTGCGAATTTTTTCAAATAGGTTTTTGTAGTCCTTGTAAATTTTTTCGTTTTTAGGTGTTTTTGTTTTCAAAAAATTTCATTCTTAAAAAGAAACCCTTCTAGTTGGCTAGGAAAGTAATATGAACAATCTGAAAATTTATTGTGATAAATATTGTAATCAGAGTCTAAATTTTCATTTAACGTAGAGTAATTTATTTTTTGAATTTTAAAAACACGAGATTCAAAGTTTTCATTAGTAGCCATGGTTAATATATTTTATTTAAGATTTCTTTTTAGGAATGCCCATAAAATTATTCGTTAAAATTGTTTTTAAAAGAAGTTTTAATATAAACAATTTTGTCATACCTTACCGTAACACTTTCACCATTCAATCGCCTTTCTTTCACTTCAGCGAACAATTTTTTTCGAATAGCGACGGTTTCTCGAGAAAAATCTTCGTTCACGAACGTATTTGTGCCTTTGAGTCGATACAATTCCTTCAATATTCTTATTTTGTCTTTATATTTCTGAAGATTTAATATTATAGTCCTTGGTCGTCCATCGTTTTTTCGTCCAGTGCGGTGAGCTCTTTCAATTTCAACATCTTTTAGTCCAAGTTTTTCGGTGAAGAATGTTTGAACTTTTTTTTTTGTATCCCCCCATGATTCTTTATCATTCTCGTAAATTCCTTCAATCCTAAGATTGTTTCGGCGCGATCGATCTTCTAAGTTTCGTTGTTTTTCTTTTAATACATTATCTATTTTTGTATGTTCCATTTTTTTATCTAGATATTTGTTGTTAGTAACTATTTTTTCGTCAATAAGTCCTTCATTAAAATTAAGGCTTACCTTTATATCTTCTAATTCTTTTGTTAATTTCTTTATACAATTTGCATTTCCATCAACATTTTTCTCTACTTTTTCAAATCTATCGTTTATTATTTTGATGTTAGCCCCAATAATATCGAGAACTGCTTTTACTTGCTTTTGAAACATTTCTTCCGTTTCCTTTTTAAATTCTTTGAACATTTCTTTTAAAAGTTTCTTTATTTCTGGAAGTGTTACAGCCATATTATTAAGTTAAAATTTTTATTAAAGATACGTCTTTATTTATAATAAATAAAAAGTTTTTGTTTTTTATTTTTTCGCCACGAGGTAAAAAGTGCGTCCGTTCTTGTTGAAAGCTTGAGTTGAAAGATAATTCTTATCGAGTGAAACTTGTGAATAGGAAAAATAAAAATTTAGCGGAAAATTGGCGTTTTTTCGCGAAAAAACAGTATTTGCCTTAAAAAACGGGACAAAAAAAAGGTCCTCAAATTTTAATTTGGCCGGCGCCCAAATACGGTTAACGCTGTCGAAAACAGTCTAGACAAGCTTCTGACTATGAACCCAAACTTTCATAAAATTTTGTTTTTTGTAAATGACTTGACGAGGTAGCAAATTTCCAAAAGCATAGCAACAAGTTAAAACTGTATTCATTTGTTTTTCATTTGTTGGAACAAGTTGTTTTGGATTTTTTTATTCATTTTCGACAATTAATGCTGACTTTACCTTGATCGAACTTCAATCCACTTTCATTATAGTTAAACACATGAAACGGCTTTACATTTAATTTATGCTTTTGATAAACAGCGTCAACTTGACTGAACCATTCATCAATATTTGCATTCATCATTGCAGTTTGCAAAGACGGTAGCGTGCGTGCTAGTAGCCTTTCTTTCATAGATATTTTTCGTATTCTTTCTCATGAAACACTTTCCACTTTCGAGTAGGTTTACCGGTCTTAAATAAATGAGTTTGTTTAGATTCCTTCAAGCAGTTTTTGACCTCAGTTAAATTATCACTTCTTTTTAAGCTGAAGCCAATGTCACTCATAGACTGTACAAGTCCAATTATAAGCATCCCTGTTATTTGGCTTATTGCTCTTGGCCTACCAACACCAGCAGCTCCATTTATTCCTTTAAATCCGCAAAAAATAATAGTTTTAGGAATGTTGTAGCATAAAGCGGTTTATGAATATGATATATTATTATTGATAGCCTCAGTACAAAGTTTAACTTTTCTTTCGTGCTCTTTATTTTTCTTAATTTTAAACACTTTTTTTTATTAACAAACGTTAAGATAAACAAGTCATTTAGAAATTCATTAAAAAAGTTAAAAGTGTTTATTAGTTTTTAAATTATAACTTAGTATTTTGAATTTTATTAGTGAATTGAAGTATAAGTTTTGAAATTTAACAATAATATTTTGAACACTAATTTTTAATAATAGTTTAACGACATTATAACCCGAGTAGCAAACAATATTGGTGCAATATTGTGTACATACTTTAGATGCTGTAAACAATATTGCGCCAATATTGTTTGCTACTCGGGAATGTAATTAAAATTTTGCGATTTTTGCAAAAAATAAAATTCATTCTAAAAACTGTTCGGAATAAGAATTATGCAGAAAAGAACTGTATTTTAAATATCTTACAAAGTATTGCTAATTTTTGAATTTTTTTTCAGATAAATATTTACCTACATCGAAAAGTATTCAATTTAATTTGCCTATTTTTTTTTAAGTTGGTTTTATACTTTTGGTTTTTCAGGGGAAGGAGGGTATGAACCCCCTCCCCAGAGTCGGATTGGCGAGGAGGGTATGGGAACTTTCCCCCGGGCCCCTGCTATGTTTGGGCCCCTCTCTATCTATTGGCCCCTAATAAAGGTACCTTAAAAAAAAAAAGGTCGAACACCCGTCCCCCCCCCTCCAACCAAAAATTCCTGAATCCGTCACTGTTACTCTCGTCTTCCAATTTATTAATCAGCTTTTCTTTTAAAAATCCTACAAAAATAAAAGATGTGACAATAAGTGATCTAAAGCTGTTCGGTTTTAGGGTAATCTACGATGTATTTTTATAAAAGTTAAGGGTGTAACTTTTGATATATAGTTTTGTGTTTTTATTTATTTATTGAAGATTTAAATGGAATATTATACTATTATTCTGAAAGCCTAATTTTTTATTAAGGTTAAACTATTTGTGTGATAAAAACATGTAAGCATTATTCTAATATACAATTTGGAACGAAAGTGTAATGCTTTTACTCCCTGACTTTTTTTTAATATAGTGTTTTATACATATTTTTAATACATATTTTATATATAGTTTTTTCCTTTTATACTCGCGTGTTTGATATTTTCTTTTGTTTTTATTATTATTTTTTAAAATCTTATTGCAATGCTCATGCAATTTTGTTGCTTTTTATAGCATTTGTGGTTGCATTAAAAAAACACCCATATTTTTAGAAAAATGTAAGTTTGCGAATTTTTTTCTGGTGAACCCTTTTTTACTGATACTTATTCGGATTATTTAAGATATGATGTAAAACATAAAAGCAGCCGCATACAAATTAATATTCTCTTTTTGTGTACATTTTTGCACAATTTTTTATGAATAACAACAACAAAATTTCTTGTTGTTATACATAAAAAATTGTACAAAAATGTATAATAATTTAGTAAAAAATGTATAATAATGTAGTAATAATTTGTTGTTTCAACAACTTCTGATGTTGCTGAAACGATAAATTATTTATGGTTTTACGTCATTTGCTTCTATAGAAACCAATCGTGTAAACCGGTGTTAAAAACGTTATTAAAAGTAAATAAATAACTATTTATGGTTTTCATTAGTTTAAAACGTAATGCAAAAAGTCTTCAGGCTGCACCTGCTGATTGCCCGCCGCTGCATAACCAAGGCAAGTAATTTTCAACCAAAGCATTGTTATTTTTTGCTTTATATGATAGTTTATATTAAAAGTTATTTAAGCCTTAAATCAAGATTTAAAAAAATGCAAATATTCTTGTAATAAATCGTTTCTATACAATATAAATATAATGAAATTTAATTCATAAATTATTTATACCATTTTATGGCTGTAGTCAAAAATGCAAATATTTATTTATATTCTCATTTATTTTAAATTAAAATATTAATAAACAAATATTTACATTTTTGACTATAGTCATAAATAGTTGTCATAATAGTATAGTCATAAGTAGTGGTATAAATAGTTTATGAATCAAGTTTATATTTATTTTTAGTATTTCCGTATATCTTGTTAATCATATTAACTTCCTTATAAACATCATGCAATAGATGCTCTATTTAATAAAGAAAAAATTATAAAAATACTCTCCCTGCTTCAAGAGGATGTTCAATATCTAATAATATCGATGAAAAGATAAAATTAAAAAAGCCAAATTGTAAAATATAGTATTTCAGAATGGTATAACTAAGGCTTAAATTAATAATTAAGTTATCACTTACCTTGCACTACACTATCATTATTATCATATTATAAAAATTTTTATTTGTAATTATCATCATAATAAATAAAAGCAATTTTATGATAACAAGTGATTTTTAATTTATTTTTTCCAGTATATAAATATTAAAAACTGTAAGTATTATGTTGCGTATTATGGAAATTAAAAAATTTTAAATTATATTTATTAAATTATAGCATGTATGATGTAACAAGATGTATGTGCATTTTATTATTTATATAAACTGATTCAAATGCATCTTCAGTGTTAAAAAGTTGTAGGCTGGCATCATTTTACTTTATTTGCTGTTTGACTTTTTTTTTTAATTGTTTTTTATTATTATACCTAAACATATATATATATATATATATATATATATATATATATATATATATATATATATATATATATATATATATATATATATATATGTCGCAAAAACTCAAATTATTGTTATCTATATACAAGTAAAAAGGAACCAATAGCTTAATGTGACACAAAATTACTAAAAATAATTACTGGCTGATTAAAAAGCAAAATAGTCTTATTTGTAATAGTTTATTTATAATGTAATATTCCTTTTTCCCCCTTCTTAAAAATAAATAAATAACATCAATCATGATAAATTGGAGGATTTATTAGTGACAAGAACTTTGCCAGTATGTGTAAGATTTTCTCAAACATTGTATAACTCAATTAATGATGATCATAAAATACATTTTGATCTAGAAGCACAATCTTGATTGATAAATATGCCTGATGGTGTTAACTTGATAGATATTACTGATTCTTTGCATAAACAAAGGTGGGCTGTTGTAATCCATATTTTTTAAACCTACAATTATACTTCTAGTGAAATCTAAAATTGAAATTTAATAAACAGACCTGTTTTTAATTGTTGTCTGGAACAAATAAAAAAACCTAGCATGTTGACAATTTATTTATCTAATTTTTTCTTTTAGTTTTCATTCCAACCTTCTTTGAACTATTTTAAATCATATTCTAAAAAACAACTGATAACAAACGGTGCAGTTTCTGCGTTTAGTTTTTGTATTTTACAAGCTGCTAAAAAAGAACATACATTTAATATGGAAACAGTGCAAAAAGCTGAGGCGCTTTATGAAAAAAACGACTTCAAAGGAGTCTATGAATATTTATTGCAATTTAAAAGCTCAGAAGATCCAGAGCTTTTGTGGCGTTTAGTTCGTGCCACTCGAGATCGTGCTTGTATGCCTGATGTCAGTAAAGAAGAAAAAAAGACTCTTATATTTGAAGCTTTTGAATATGCAAAGAAGGCTTTACAGTTTGGGGAAGAAAATTTTGCTTGTCACAAGGTTTTGTTTTTATTGTATTTTTTTTCTGTTTTTAAAATAAAATATTTGGGTTAAAGATTAGTTATTTCTATGTAGTGGTATGGTATTATGCTGAGTCAAACTGGTGATTACATTGGTACCAAGAAAAAGTTAGAAGACTCACCAGCTATGAAGCAACATTTTGAGGTAATCTTTTCAATGGTTTTTAATCAATAAACTGAGATTTTCTAGGTGATATACATATAAAAATATGTTTTTGCGTTTATCAAAGTAGTTACCAACTAGTCATCATACTTTTGATTTTCAACTTAATTAATTTAAAAATTGTTTTTAGAAAGCCATTCAGTTAAATCCAAATGATGCTACGTCACGACATTTGATAGGAATGTGGTAAAGTATATTTTTAGCTCAAAATCTTGTTATTCTTTTCTGAAAATGTTCCTTAAATTGTCTTCAAGTTTAGTTCATTTTTATGTTGCAGTTAAATTTAGGTGTTTTTCATTTGCTGATCTTGCTTGGTATGAAAGAAAAATTGCCACAGTAGTGTTTGGTACACCTCCATCATCAACTTATGAAGAGGTATAGATTTTAATATTTGTATTTAAACATTTTTTAAAGCTCTTTTTATTAATTTCTAAAGTATGGATAACAAGTGTTAGCTGATTTTTTGCATAAAGTTAAGGCATTAATCCTTTATTTTTATAACAAGTTTTTCTAAAAATTTATTCAATTCTGATTATATATTGTTTATATTTTTTAACATTAAGTGTTTTAATTGTTGTTTTAACAAGTTTAGAGAGGTATTCTTTGACAATGTTGATTAAACCATTTTTATACACTTCGATTAAACTTTAAAATACATTTTAGTATTGATCAATATATTAAGTCTATCAAAATGGCTTTTTTGTTTACTTGCTTAACAGTATTTTCAATTATTTTTAACATGCCATTCTAACATGGGTATTGCATAATGAGAGCTTACAAGATCTGGCTAAAATATGTAATTGCCACTTGAATGATACTTCTCAATCAAAGGAAGCAGCCTAGCAACAAAACTATTGTCTTTATATATATATATATCTTGGTTGATTGTATTCCCAATCTTAATGATATTTGGTTTCAATATTCCACAAAATGAGTCAAACTTTATTTCTTTTTTAAAAAAATTTGAAATTTTACTTTGGCTGACATCTTTGAAACTTGAATAGTAATTAACATTGTTTTTGACACTAAAATGTTAAAAGGAATGAAATAAGTTTTATTATCTGTTGTTCATTTGTGATCTCTGGAAAATATTTTTGGAAAAGAGTTTTAAATTTTATTATGGCTGCTTTCATTTAAGCTTCTGTTCAACCATGAATGATTTGTTTCATCTTGCAATTTATTGAGATCTTGTTGTTTTTCCTGCAATTTATTGAAATCTTGTTGCTTCATCCTGCAATTTATTGAAATCTTGTTGCTTCATCCTGCAATTTATTGAGATCTTGTTTAAGTGTTTTAAAATATTTATTAAGCAGTCAAAATGCTTTCATTATGAAATTTGTAACTTTTTTTTTAGTTTGTTGCCATAATGTGGTTTTAAATTTTTTGTGTGAATATTTTAGCTGTCAATTTGAACATTTTTTATCCATAGTGTTTATTCCAGGCTAATTTTTGTCGTTTTTAATTTTTTTTATAGAAAGAATTCACTCAGTTTATAAGTGTTTTTCTTTTATTAGTACTTATAAAATACCTGTATTCTTTTTTAAGAATGTTAAACTTGTTTTAATGCAACTATTTACTAATATTAATTTAGGCTGCAGCAACAAAAGATGGTTTTAGTAAAAAGTATTACTGTTTATTTATAGGCATTGCAAAATTTTGAAAAAGCAGAAGAATGTAAGCAGTTTCTGTTGCTGGAGTAAAATTATTCTCATTGTTCATTATATTTTAACAAAAGGTTTTATTGGTAATATTAATTTAAAAAATTTTTTCTTTTAGTATCTCCATCGTTCTACAGCACTAATCAATACATGCTTGGACTTGCCTACCTTAGATTAGGAAATAAAGCGAAAGCTAAAGAATGGTTTCAAAAAGTTTGTGAGTTTCAAGTTGTGAAAGAAGAAGATAAAGAGGTTTTATAGTTTCCATGATTTATTACTTATTTCAAGTGATTAAGAAAAATTATATTTAAAACAGTTTTAAAGAAAGTTTTTTACCTTATCAGTAAGTTATTGCAAACAAAACTGTTCTTAAAACTAAATTTAAATGTCAAATTTCTATTTGATCTTTTTCCAGTTAATTTATTTACAATAGTTTTGGCTTAACTATAAAATTTAAAAACCAGTGATGGCACCATGAGGTACTGCTTTTTTTTTAGACAGTCTTCAAATAATATTAGATATATTTGTCTTGAATCTTGAAAGTCTTGAAAAAAAGTGACTTTGTCTTGACTTGTGGAGCTTTGGTGTTGACATATTGTCTTGGTCTTGAAATTTGTATTGTCGAAAACTAAAGCAATCAAAGCTGATGCATTACTGTTAGTAGAAGAACAAATAATAAATATTTGAACTCAGTTGCTAATTTTCTTGATGGCAATCACAAAGATTAAATAGAAAAGTCAGAAAATTTGTTTTGATTTATTGTCCAAATTAATACATTTATATTTTTATTTCTTGAACTTTCATATCAAGTACCCTGACTTCTACAGGAGTTTTTGCCTTTTCCCAATTGATTTTTTTCTTGCAGTTTTATTTATATGTAGCTATTGCAGATTCATGTATCTTCAATTAAACATTTTTGGTATTGTTAAAACAAATTTCTTTGGAAAACCAGTGTTGTTGTTTGGTGTTTTTACCAGTGTTGTTGTTTGAGGTTTTTTGGAATTTTAGATTAATGTAATTTATCTTCAGTCAAACATTTTTTTTAAACTCTAATTCTTATTTGACATTTCAACTCACTAACATTTTGAAGCATTTCACGCTTCATTAAATAGTTTCCTGGTTCGATGTTGTATGCTAATTTTGATTTAGTGAATTTAGTGATTTAGTTCAGATATAGTGAGTTTGAGTTTTTGTAAAAAATATTTTTCTTTAATTGAAAGTATTAAGGTAGCTTCTTTTAGTGGTTTTGATGGGTCAAAGACAAGATACAAGTATTATTTCAGATTTTTTAAACTTTTAGATTTTTTTTCAAAACAGGTTGAATTCTTTTTGCAATGTTGTTTGAAATTCCATAACAAGGTGTTCCAATAATTGGTAAAATGACTCTCATTGGATAAGATTTGTTTATAAGCTTAGATTAGACCATTGATTAACAAGTTTGATAGGATAGTATTACTTGGGTATATACGTTCATATTTTTTAATGGCATAGCTGAGAGTGGGATACTAATAATTTTTGTTGGACCTATTTGTTCTCTAGTTTTTGCCTTATCATGATCACGAAATTTTTTGTTTTTGTTTTGATTATTTTCTCTTTTTTTTTATCTCTAAAAAAACATTTAAAGAAATTGGGGGCATGACATAGAAAGGCGCACGACATAAAAGTCGTGCGCCTTTCTATGTCATGCCCCCAATTTCTTTATTATATGCAAGCTTTAATACAAACGATTATTATACTGGAATGTTTATTATTACAGTATATTTTGTACTTAACTTGAGGTATAGAACTGGTAAGAATGGTACAATATGTGGACCAATTTATACTGCTATTACAGAAGCATTGAATAAATGTCAGATTTGAATGTTTTAATAGTTATTTCTGAAATTTATGCGTTAAGTATATCTTTAGTTTTTCCCATTTTTAAGTTCAAATATTTTCAGTTCTTAATCACAACCTAATGTAAATTCGTAAATCACAAAAACATTTAAGTTAACAAAAATTTTTTTTTACACATATTTCAAAACTTCAATAATCACTTTTTTGATTCGCACGTTTTTACATATTCTAACTTATCAATGCTAAAAGTTAATGCCACGCCTATTTATAAAGAACCGCAAAAATATTTTACATAACTATTGTTGATATTTAAACCTTAAAGAAAGTATTGGTAGAAATTAAATTATTTAAAATCAATATTTTATTGTTCTAGTGAAAAATAAAAATTAAATTGATAATATGACCACCCACTGTATTTTCACTGTATTTCCAATTAAATTAATTGGAAAATATTAAAATCGTTAAATTATGTTTTAATTTAGCTTTCAATATATTGATTTTCACACCAATAACTTTTACTGTAAGTTAAATACGTATATTAAATACGTATATACTTACAGGAAATCGTTTAAAATTTGTAAGCAAAAAATATAACATCAATTATTTATTTTTTTTTTTTTTTAGAACATTCAAAAGGCCAAGGATCAGTTAAAATCACTTTAGTTGTATTTTTTACTTAAATTTTAGTAAAATTAATTGTTTATTCTTTTATTCTATTTTCAAAAGAAAATTTCTAAACCAACAATAACACATCATTACTTCTTTATAATCTGCGTCATAAAAATACTTTTAAAGTTTAATATTAGAAAGCGTAGTTTATTTAATCAACTTTTTTGAGTGACATTCCATTCACATTCTCATAAAAAAAAAATTTCCTTTGAACCCCTTCAAGCTTTTTTGCATAATTTTATTATTTAGAGTTCAAAAACAACCGATTAGTTGTTATGCCAATGGTATTTACAAATAAGTAAAAGTTTTTATAAGAACTTCAGTTTTCTCGAGTAACTGCAGTATAAATTCTTTTTCAGATGGTATGCGATATTTTTGATTGAGTATTTAAAGTTTATTTTTTCCATCTTGGACAATTTTGAGTAGAGTGCTGAAAAGAGCGTTTGTTGTTGTTTGAATATTAAAAATACTTTTGATCGTATTTATATATTTCTCAAATCTTGCTCAATATTTGAGAAATATATATTTTTTCAAAAACAGAGCGTTTTATACTTAAACTAGAAAGTCCGGACCCGTTAAATGGGTCATAATAGGTCTGAACCTCCCACTTATTTTTCACTCTCGTACCTCCCACTTATTTTTCACTCATTTTCAATAGGTTACATAAAATGGTAAAAAGTAATAATCTTAGCTTCTTTAGAGATCTAATTTAACGTTTCGTTTTGCGTTGCTCGAGCATTTTATACATATACCATAACTAAATCGATATATATAGAAATTGACTTGAATCTTTTGACTCCTTTAAAAATCCTCATCAAAATGTAATAAATTGAAACAGTTTTAAAAGTCGAGAAGAGTTTTAAAAATGCAAATAATATTTAGATACAAAAAATATAATTAAGTTGAAAAATAGAAATGAAATAAATAAAAAGTAAAAAACTATTTTCAAATAAAATAATTTTTTAAAGTAATATATTATTTTTAAGTTTTTAGCAATATTTTTTGTAGTACGTAAAGTTAAAATAATTTTTAAAATATCGAAAACAACGTCGTACTAACTTTTTTAAATATGATATTTCAGTCTAGTTTGAGTATTATCTTGCCACACCACTCTTCTTTCTAACAACGCTCACATCAGTTATAACCAATGTGTATCTTAATACACTTAACAAATGTTGTAGTTGGCGCATTGCATATGATAACAGCAAGATTGATTTTAAACTCAATATTTTCTTGGATAAAACATTTTTTTAGATTTTTTAATTTTATTAATTAAATATTTAAAATTTTTTTGACAGTGGTTTGAATTTCACGCACGCTTATTGCTTGCTGTTTCTGGCACATTAGAGGACAGGGCAAACACCAGACACGAGTTTGACAGTGATCTGAATTTTGTGTCAAAATTAGATTTGTGAAAAGAGATGGATATATCTATCTCTCCAATATTTGTGTATGTAATCCCCAGGCTGATCTTTGATGTGTAGTATGTACGGCATGCTTGACAGTCTTGACGCATGCGTAGTATGTACGGCAAAGTTTTTTATCCATTTATTTATTAAATAAATTGATAAAAAAAACTTTGCCGCACATACTACGCATGCAGTTATGGTTAATTAACCATAAAATCAAAAATTACAAATTTAATTAACATTTACAAATTTAGATTCAGTGTCACTCATATTAAAAACTAGCCAATGGAGTGACATCTTAATAAAATAAACAAATAAAATAAAAAGATATTAAAACAATGAAATAATAAAGAAAGTAAACTACATTAAGGCAAGTAATAAAAAAAGAAGTATAAGGAACAACAATATTAAAAAAGTTGGAATTAGAACAAAAGTATAAAGGAGTAACGCTAAGAATGAAAAAAAAAAAGAGAGAATGAACAGATGAGTGAGAAAATATGTAACTTACATATTTTCTCACTTTTTTATATTTTCTACAAAAGTTGTTTTTTGTTACTCTATCCTTCTGAACTTATGTGATTAAATTTTTATTTTCTCTTACAGTAAGAGACAACAAAAATTTAATCACATAAGTTTAGAAGGATAGTGTGGCAGAAAACAATTTTTTAATTCTACTCCAATTTTATCAATACATAATATTTATGCTGGATTCTAACAACAATTTAGTAGCACAACAATTAATGACTTTACTTGACTATTGTTTATTATTCTTATTTATTTTTTACTACATTTTGCTTTTATCAGTTTAAAATATTTTTCTACTTTGAAGCTCTTTGTTTTCCACTGGACATCTGTCCTTTTCTACTTTTTTCTCACTCTGGTAAACTCTTTTTAACTTATTATTCATCCCTAAGGCGTTCACTGCTCGGTTCAGCTTCACTAAAATGCATTGCATTTACAAAAAGTATTTATGTCCGCGTGGACTGCGGAACAACGACTATCTTCCTGACAACCACATATACCAGAGGTAAATTTATTTACCTAACAAAACCTACACAGAAGAGTACTTACAACAGTAACAAACACATGCTTATGCACATACACCTCACATCCTGAATTAACTCTTTACTTTTCTCTTTTTAAGTTTTATTTTGATTTTCTTCTATAATTATTCCTTATATCATTGTATTCTTATTATTGATTAGTTACTGTAAATGACACAAAATCAGCCATGCTATACATACAGTTTGTTTAATTGATTAGAGTTTACCTGCTAACTGTTTTAAAAACGAATAATTCCACTCGACTTCAGATACTCCTGACTACATTACAGTCGTGTGACATGCACAGTTAAACTTGTCACTTATACAAAATACAAAACACACTTTTGTACCACTTACATTTACCTGTGAGGCTACAAAATTTCCATATAATTTTAGATTATGAATTGTTAAAGACAAATACAGATTATTAGTTGCAATACACATATACAAGTCATTGTTGCTGTATTGATATAGCTCTGTTAAACATTTCTAGTTTATCTAATTGTAATAGCTTGTTTATTTATTTATGTTATTTTTTTAATGATACACGTTTATTGGACTCCTAGTACTCACTTCTACCTTAGGTTACACCAATTTAAAAGACTTTCAACTATTTTTATACTGATAGCTCTTACTATCGAGACTGCTACATGCTACATATCGACAAAACACTACACTTTATAGACACTCATGTTAAAAAAATTACTTACTATTGTTTGCAAGTTGTACTGAACCCCGCAAAGTGTCCTCTGGTCTCAGTGTTAATTTAGGAGTCTGTGGCAATCGTCCTGAACGGATACTCTGAGAATAGTCCTTTTGGGATAACACAATGGGATACCTTAAAAAGATACCCTAGTGTAGACCCAGAGTGGAACTTCTTTTGGGATACCAGTCTCAGATGAAAGCTGGAGAAATTTATGTGTTCACACTGTACCATAAGGCACAAATCCATACTGTACTCGAGATGTTCATGACTCTTATATCTACAATGTATGTTTATCACCCTTATAATACAAACCACATGGTGACTACTTATAAAACGAATAATTCTTCTCCATTACCAATTCTATCAATACATAATATTTATGCTGGATTCTAACAACAATTTAGTAGGACAACAACTAATGACTTTCTATGACTATTGTTTATTATTCTTATTTATTTTTTACTACATTTTGCTTTTATCAGTTTTTATTATTTTTCTACTTTGAGGCTCTTTGTTTTCTACTGGACATCTGTCTTTTGTACTTTTATCTCACTCTGGTAAACTCTTTTTAACTTATTATTCATCCTTAAGGCGTTCACTGTTCGGTGCAGCTTCACTAAAAATGCATTGCATTTACAATATATATATATATATATATATATATATATATATATATATATATATATATATATATATATATATATATATATATATATATATATATATATATATATATATATATATATATATATATATATATATATATATATATATATATATATATATATATATATATATATATATATATATATATATATATATATATATATATATATATATATATATATATATATATATATATATACAAAATAGAAAATGTATTATTATGGTATAATAATAGAGCAATATTTATTTATTTATATTAAATGAATAAAAACAACTTTTGATGGAACTCTGAGTTTCATGCCTTTCGGCAATCATCAGCCATTGTGTATTTCGTCACTTAAAAACCGTTTAAAAATTACAAATTAAAATTACGGTGGAACGAGTTCTGACGTTACCAAACAAAACAAAACAAATCAAAGGTTTTAGTCCCCGGTATCAAATAAGGATAGTAAAAATTTTTTTGAATGCCGGCACTTTGATATTATTTCATATCTTTTATAAGGTAAGTTTTCTCCTTTATATGATAATATGTGAAACTTCTCGCGGAGACAAAGATTACAAACTTTTAATGCTTGATTGTAGGGCTTACATTGTGCTATTATCTTCCATGTAATCACAGGATTTATATGTTTCGATTTTAGCTCCCATATTTCTTTGGGAAGTTCAGTGTCATTTTTATATTTGGGTGCATTGAAAGATTTAAGACATTCAGTCGGCAAATTTTCAAAAACGAGGACCTTATTATTATTTTTTTTTTATAAGTCGGCAAAAGTTGTAATGGCGCCCCCCCCCCCACGTGATACCTACTCGCGCCGGCTCAATATATATATATATATATATATGTATATATATATATATATATATATATATATATAAATATATATATATATATATATATATATATATATATATATATATATATATATATATATATATATATATATATATATATATATATATATATATATATATATATATATATATATATATATATATACAGGCCCGCCCAGAGCTTTTAAGATGCCCGGGTCCAAAAGTTTAATGGATGCCATATCATACTTCAGGTCTTAAAATAGCAAATAAATTAATATAGTTTACTTTCATAAAAAACCTAAAATCACATTTAATTTTGGTTTGCAAAAACAAACTATGATAAAATCAATTCTTAATTGACAAACACATCTTTCGGGCCTTCTTAGCAGCAAATTTTGAAATAACTTCTTCATAATTAACGTTAATGGCTAAATCTGATTCGATTGAAAGGATCATCAAGTAGCACAATCACTCCTAGCCCATTGTGGAACGAAGATAATCTTTGATGATAGCTAACTTGCTGAAAGGTCTTTCTCCTTCAGATGTTGAAACGGGCAATGTTAGAAAGATTCTAAGAGAAACACACACTTGCGGAAATATTGAATGCAGCCCCTTTGCATAAACTTCATTTAGAAGTTCGACAGGCTTTTCGCTGGCTAGAATATTTTTTCTTACGGAAAAAAAATACCGAACTTCATCAGAAAATTCGTTTTTACATAAGTCTTCTGGGTAAAGTTTAGCCAGATTCTCAGCTTTTAAACCTAGTTCTTGGTCTGTTTGAGATTTCTGTAAAGACCAAAGGAAGGAAAACTTGCTACATTCCTCTTCTATTACTTTAAATCTTGATCTCATTTGACTAGTCAGATTGTCGAGTGCAACATTGAAGACATTACACTCAAAGTTTTTTGAGTGTAATGTCAATGTTGTTGAGTGCAACATTGAAGACATTACACTCAAAGTTTTTTGATGCTTCTTCGTAGTTGTAACCAGCAGTTTCATCTGAGATGATCTTTTTTCGCGTTCTCTTCACAGTAAACATTATTTTATCAAATTTCAAGTTCTTTGCAACTTCTGTTGCCTCTATCAAAATCAGGTCCCAGGACAGACGGATTCGATCCAGATCCATCAAAAGGCCATTTAGAATCTTTACTTCATCATCGAGAGTGAGTTGAGTGGATTGAAGCAGAAGACTCACGTTGTTAACTGCCATCAAACATTTAAACCAAAAAGTAGTGAAAACAACAATTTCAAAAGGATTCATCCATTTAATGAGATAATTCACTTCATTATTACTTTCGCCTGGAAGGTCTAACTCTTTTAGACGATGTAATGATTTCAATATCTCTCTTGGCTTTTTTGCTAGTGGCTTAACTGATTCAATCCTTGAACTCCATCGTGTAACAAAAAGTTTATGTAATGATTGGCCTGTCTCCTCCTGAAGAATTTTCCAACGAACTGGGCTGCTGCTGAACAGATTGTATAGCTTTTGAATATTTCCAAAATAGGATTTTGCTGGAGCCGATGATTCAATAGCGTGTACTGCACATAAGTTCAAACTGTGAGTAGAGCAAGGAATGAAAATTGCTTGTGGATTATTCTGTCTTATCAAAGCTTGAACTCCATTGTAAATACCTGCCATATTAGCGCCGTTGTCGTAGCCTTGACCACGACAATTTTTTATGTCGAGCTCATTCTCTTCCAACACATTCAATATCAACTTTGTTATATCAGATCCCTTCTTCTTTTCAAGTTCTTCTAGCTTAAGGAATCTTTCTTTGACCTCCCACAGCTGATTATCATTGAAATGCAAAAAACGAAAAACAAAAGTTATTTGCTCGCTGTGGGACGAATCGGGAGTGCTGTCCGTGATGATGGTGAAATATATTGATTTTTTGATTTCTCGAATAACTTCTCGAACCACTAATTTGCCGCATTCCTTGATAAATTCATTTTGTGATTTCCAAGATAAATAATGAGCTTGCATGCGTTTTTCTTCTTCTTGGTGCTTAGCAATAAGATGCATATGATCTTGTAATGTTTTGTTGTGGCGAGCAATTAATTCGAGCGCTCCAAGGAAGTTTCCATTCCCATTTTTGAACAACTTTTGATTGGATCCTAATTACAAACAAAAAATAATCAAAATAGTAATCCATATTTATATCCAATTAAAACTTGTAATTTTGATTTTTAAATTACAAATAAAATAATGCAAAATATAATTTAAAATTTACCACTTCTTACCACTAAATCTTACCACTAAAAGCTAAGTTTCTTGAAGCTAGAATAATTGTGACGTCAAGAATGCATTGTAAAATTACTTTCCATCGCTTTGTTTCATCTCCAATTTGTTTTTCTAACTGATGCTCAATGGACTTTTGACTTTTCAAGTGAATCGTAGCTGTTTTCCATTGGAGATAACAGTTACGGTGAAAATCGCTTTGTTGATGACTTTTAACGCGATCTGAAAGTTTTCTCCAATTTCCATGTATACCTCCATTCCAAGACAACAAACTGGATTGAACACCGGGTCTGGTTAAGTTAGGCAATCCAAAAAAGGAGCAAGGGAAACAAAAGAATGATGCCACAACCTTACTCCAAACGAGCCATTCTCTTTTAACTTTTTCTCCGTTTCTTTGTTCCTCTAAAAAGATATAAGTAGGGAATTTGCGTTCTTTTTGATCTCTTGGAAAATTGCTAGGATTTGAAGAAGGTCCCATCAGAATTATATTCGTTCGATCAGTGTCTGATATTGATTTCCATAGTGCAGGATCGTTAGAGATTGGTATAGAAAGATCACTTTTATAAATTTGTTGGTCATTGTGACAATCAAGTACAAAATCCAACTGATCCTTTTTTAAATGTGATGATGTTTTTTGGAAGTCATCGATGTCATCGGCAAGAAAAGGTTTGTCGGAATTATGGTCTGGCAACTCATTAGAGTCATTAATACCGATCTCAATATCATTGAACTATAAAGAAGTATTAAACAGAACTATTCTAATTATTTTTTCATGAACGTCATAAGATTAAAAAATAGTTTAACTACCTGCTTGCATTTATCTTTGATTTTTGTCCAACGAACGCAATCTAAAAACGTTCGTTTGTTTTTGCTTTCGTTTTTTTTCCGAATCATCGCTCTTTTTCTCCCAGCAGCTCCAGACAGCTGTTTCAATCGTGGAGGTCTTTGATTATTCATGCTAAAACTTATGACGATATAAAGAATTTTAACTTTTTAAATTTTAAAAATTAAAAACTTTATAATACTTTAGTGTTATTAATTGCAGTGAAAAAGTCAGTACTTACAAATAAAATATCCACTGAAGATAAGTTTCTTGTCAGAATATAGTCGGAACAAAATGCAGGCGAGTCAAAAACATACATATGCACAAAAGTATCCACAGGGACGCAAGGTTTAAGCAAAAATAAGTTAAACTATCAGAAGTCAGGCTTTTACAAACGTTAAATAAGAAAAAAAAAATTTTAACGCTTTTTATTCTATCAAGCGAACAAAAGGCCAATGAAAACGCGTGCGTTCAAATGGATAATGAAAACCTTGTAAAGTAATAATTATCCTATTTTAAATGCAAACAAAGTTTAAAAGGAGAAAGAAATTAATACACAAAAATTGCTTAATCTTTAAATACGTTATCAGCTAAATTTTTTATCATTTCAATAATTTTTTTTTAAAGGCATGTGATGCCCCATAGACTGTGATGCCCGGGGCAAACTACTTTAATTGCCCCCCCTCTTGGCGGCCCTGTATATATATATATATATATATATATATATATATATATATATATATATATATATATATATATATATATATATATATATATATATATATATATATATATATATATATATATATATATATATATATATACCTATATATATACCTATATATATATATATATATATATATATATATATATATATATATATATATATATATATATATATATATATATATATATATATATATATATATATATATATATATATAATTAAAAACGAAAAAACTTTTGTTACGGAACTTTAAGTTTCATGCATAACGGCAATTATTAGCCAATATTACAAAATTAAAAATTAAACGCTATAATTACACCGTAATTAGAATAACAGTGGCGTGATTTCTAATGGACTCTATGGAAACAAAACTTTAAAAGTTTTAAAAGTATAACGTGGCGTAAACGTTATACATAAATGTTATATATTATATAAACGTTATACGTAAATGTTATACATTGGTTTCAAACCATAAAAGAAAAGCAATTCTGTTAGTTCTCAGCCTTTGATATTAATGATTTTTTTTCATCGATTAGTGAAAACCTACTAAAAAATGCAATAATTTTTGCAGAGCAACATCTAACAACAAATAGTGAACAAAAGAGCTTCGTACGCCATGCAAGAAAATCATTATTTAGCAGCGGGACTGCTTGGATTAAGAAAAAAGGAGGATTATCGATGTCACTATGGGGGCCTTTGATGGCGCGGAGATTTGTGAATTAACTTGAATTTTTATTTTGCATCAAATCTCGCAGTTTTATGATAAAAGCAATTTTGGTATATATCGAGATGATGGATTAGCTAATTTGAAAATACAATTTGAAAATAGTTAACTATCTCGATTTAACGCTAAACCTTAACGATGGTTTTTTTCAGCCATACCGCAAACCAGATAATTTACTGAATTATATGCACATTAGTTCTAATCATCCACTGAGTGTAATAAAAGGTGTTCCTAAGACTATTCAATTAAGATCAGCAGCATCGTCAGCAGCATTACGTCATCAGCAGCATCGTCATCAGCAGCATCGTCAAGTGAGTTGATTTTTAAAGAAAGTATTTCTCCTTATCAAGAAGTCTTGAAAAAATTGCGAACTTGCATATTATCCAAGTATAAAATCAACAAACGGCATAAACGCAAGATAATTTGGTATAATCCTTCTTTCAGTGCAAATGTTGTAACAAAAATAGGTAAATGTTTTCTGAACCTCATCGACCTCCACTTTCCAGTTAACCACAGACTTCGTAAAATGTTTAATAGAAACATAATCAAAATAAGTTTCTGCATACCAAAAATAAAATCCATTATCAACTCTCACAATAAAAGCATTTTACATAAGGAGGCAAAAATTAATGAAATCAAAATGCCCAATGAACAACTGAACTATTGCCTTTCCAACAACACTGTTAATCAGTGCACCATTTATTAAAACAATGCGGAATACAAAGAAAAAGTGTATTTTGGACTCAGCAAAACGTCTTTTAAAGTTTGGTATGCAAACCTCTAAAAATTCTTTAATGCAATTAGATAAAAGAATGATACAGAGTTATGAACAGCAGTGGTGCAGTGGTAGCGCACTTGCCTCAGAAACATAGTATCCGTGGTTCAAACCCCATTTCTGGGCAAGTTTAGCGATATCAGTTTGAAAGAAAGCGTGAAACTTTAATTAAATGCTTATCCGCGGTGCTTTGTGATAAGACCGTAGAGACTTCTTGGGCACCTAAATAAAAATTAATACATATATATATATATATATAAATTATTATATATATATATATATATATATATATATATATATATATATATATATATATATATATATATATATATATATATATATATATATATATATATATATATAGATATATATATATAGGGCCAACGCGAATAGCTGCCACGCAAGGAGGGGGAAGAGGGTGTCGTTGCAATATTTGCCTACTCACTGAAAACAAAAGTAAAAGACAGTCAGTCAGTAAATACATTTACTGACTGACTGTCGAAATTTGTTGGCTAAATTGTCTACTTGTCTATAGCTCTACATTTGCCGACTTAATTATCTATAAGTGTCAAATTTGCCGGCTAAATGAACAAATGTTATGTTATAATGAGTTTTAAAACGGTTAAATATTTCTTTGCTATTTACAATAAATGGTTGTCTCAAATTTTACAAATCAAACTTTTTGCTTTTTGAACTCTGTAACAAACAGCGTTTCTCAAAATTTTGATTTAGTTTAAAAATTTTGTCAATTGTTTATTTGGAAACAATATAGTTCCTGTAAAAATTTCGTTTAAAACACCCGTCTTTATCTATATAATTCTACAAGTTAAAACGAAAACAAAAAAAAATTGATAAAGTAGGGAACCAAATGTACAGTATATATATAAACAATTGAATAAAATATCAAACGTAATTTACAACAGTATGATAAATGTCAATTTTAAAATTAAAAAAAAAAAAAATCGATTTAAAAACTATAAACTGTTTTTAATGACTTAACGTCATGACCATAACTTTCCAGACTGAAAAGCAACTTTAGTACTACCTCTTTCTGTTTAATGTTTAAAAAGCGCAGAGCTATATTAAAACCTCGGCTTGCCGAAAAGATAGACAATACCTTTATAATATGAGCACTGTTCTCTTTTGTTAACATAGTAGAAAATTGTTCAATACACGTTTCTAGTACATTTGACGGAAGATCACAGCGAAAGATACTTTTCAAATTAAATTCATCCATGCTAATAATGATATCGCACATAGTTTGAGGACATTTTATACACCTCCAAGCCTTATTAAATTCGTCAAAATTATTTATGTGGTGACATATCTCAGGAGGTTTGAATTGAAAATGTTCGTTTTCGTTATCTATACTTGGAGAGTAAAACGAGTTCCATGGTTTTACTTTCATGTTTCCGTTTGTTTTATCAGCGTAAAAGGCATCGTGTTTTTCCAAAGGTTGCAAATGAGAACTTGCAACAATATCTCGAAACTCTTCGTATGATGATACCTTTTGATGAACAGCTCGAAACTTTGCATTATTTTCGAGATTATATCGTTCTTCAGCTAGTTTAGCATTTTGAAATTCTTTTTGAAGTTTAACAAAGTTGATAGTTTCTGTTGTGTCCATTAAAAATGATTACTAAACAAAAAAACAATAAGTTATAAATATTCAATACTCGCCAAAAATAATTTAACGCAAATAGCTTTAAGTATAGTTAATAAAGTTCAAGTTCGATTTTGCTTTAAGTAAAGTTCAACCACAGCTCAAGTTCGATTTTGTTTTTTAGATTTTAATACTTTTAAATAAAATGCTGATTGTTCAATATTAACAGTATATATAATAATCTTCTTCTTAAAAGTATATGCTACAAAATTAAGCCACACTTTTTTTTTAATTTTGTAAATACGCAATACGCGAGGTTTAAATTTGTTTTATCAGGCTTTACAAAAACCAACGCAATAAAAATAAACAAAATTTCTACGTAAAAACATTCGCAAGATATAGTAGACCAGGGGCTGTATTCTCATCCCTCCGTTAGACTTAACGAAGTGTAATCAAAAAACCTTTTTCTAACTACATTATTCGTTTAAAAAAATATTTTTTAAAATATTAATGTTTAATATTAGTTTTATTTAAATAAATTTAAATAAAGTTTTTTTTCTTTACTCAGAAATATTACAATGAAATTTCAGACTAAAACTTCGTTGAGCTCAATGGAGAAAAGGGAATAGGCTGCTGGAGTAGGTAACTAATCCACCCTTGCTTTTCTATATCTTGTAATAACTATTTATGTAATTATTTAATCCGAATAATCCTATTTGGTTTGGTTTTAAGTTTTGCGGTTCTTAAATATATTTTAAATCAAAATTCGAAAATTGGAATTGCAAAGCACCTTTACGCCACCGCATTAAATAACGCCACAAACAAATACGCAATGATTGCTATCATTGCGTATTTGTGAATTAACACTGTGGATTGGATAGAAAATTGAAACAAAGTAGTTTTAGTTAAAGTAAAAAAACAAAAACTTTAAACATCTAATAGAATAACAATTATAATTCTGAGTAAAATAAATTGCAAAGAAATAATTTTAAATAACCAATTAAAAAGCGATTAAAACTTTTAACAACCATTAAATGGCAAAATAAATAACTTTAATTAACCTACAGAATAACAAAGCAAATAATGTTACTGGGTTAAATGCAAACGTTTTTGTGAGCTTTGTTTTTTAGTCCTGCCCCAACCAAGCTTAAAGTCTATATTAATTATACCTATTCATATATTCAATTATTGTATTTACGCTTAGTAGTATATAGAATATTACATTTTATAAAACTATTTATATTTAAATTAGATATTGTGGTTCTTAAAATGCTTTGGTTCACAAAATAGCTCGCACTTAACCGTATCACATTTGGTTTTTTATTAACAACTTCAATAAATAGTGAAACATTTTTAAGTAATCAATATATTGATCACTTTTTCAGGGCGGATACTAAAACACAAAAATTTATACCAGAAAATTTTAAATTGGAATTTTTTTTTTTTTTAAAACCAACTAATTACTCTAGTTAATTAAATTTATTGTCATTAATAAATAGAAATTTCAAAATGTGGAAAGTTAAAAAGGCGGAATAAAAAATAAGCGTCACATTGCATAATTTGCTTATGCAAGATTTTAGAAAAACATTTGAAATTCTCGTATTAGTAGAAACCCTATATTCAATAATCAATATAAATCAATACCTAAACTAAAAAATATACACTGATGTCAAAATCAACTGAGTCGTACAAAAAATACAAAAAAATGAGAACGTTTTACAAACGTGTAACTATAAATAGTATTAAAAATATAATAAAACTAAATAACTAAAACCATTAAATATCTCGTAGATAAATATTAACTTATTTATAACATTAACTTTTGTAACTTAAATTGTGCAAATAACGCGTAAATTAAAGAACGAAAAAAGAACAAAAACTGTTTGAACAAAAAATATTTGATAAAACACAACTTGGTGCTTAAAGATAAATTAAAAAGAAGTATCATTTTAAAATTTTAATATTCTTCACTAATATCTCTCATAATACTAAAAAAGAGAACAATATAAAAAACTATCATCATTCTTTTTCACTGTCACCATCAGTTGAATATTCGTTGCTTTCCAAAAGACTTTTTAAGGCGTCTTTCTGACCACCAAAAAGATCTTTAACTCGGTGATTGTATACCGACGATGAATTGGATATAAATACCATTGCTAACAGACATACGGCTATAACACTTGATAATACTACCACCAAAACATAGTTACGACTAAAAGATTTTAGTGCAAAATCAATTTAATAAAAGCGATAATATATATTAGTGTTGTTATCGATTTAGACTAAATCGACTAACAGTCGAAAGTACTTTAAAAAATCTGATAGCCAATTTAATCGACTATGGATTTCCTACTAAATGATTTAGTCGAATAATAATTTAAAAACCCTATTATGTTATATTTAATTTTTTCAATTTTTATTTGTTCATTTAACAGCAAAAGCATGTACTTTTTTGTTTACTATCTTACAGTTTTATCTAATTCATAGAATGTTAGCAATATATATACCTAATTAAACTTTAGGTTATGTATTACATTTTTTTTTATTAGTATATGCTTTTGATTTTCATTAATACTTTCACAGCTATATAATCACATTGCAAATATGATTGTATAGACTATTAGATATTTACCAAGTATTTAAGGCGGTCATTATTTAAGGCGGTCAATTATTATGTGGGTGTAAAATTGCACCCACATAATAATTTTTTTTATAAAATGATTATCTTAAATTTTTTTATATAATTTCATTTCATTTGAGATCCAACATTCTTTTAAAAAACTTTTATTAAAATTAAGGACCCCGTAAATGTTCAAGAGTCTTAAGGCACTCCCAAAAACACATTAAGGTGTATGCTGCAGATATTATTTAAAAATGTTGTAATATATATATATATATATATATATATATATATATATATATATATATATATATATATATATATATATATATATATATATATATATATATATATATATATATATATATATATATATATATATATATATATATATACATATATATATAATCGTGATCAAAAGTTTGGAACATTGCACAAAAACATACTTAATTACATAATTTTCAATTAATTATTTATTTATTTTATCAAAATAAGTTAATAACCACTACAATTGACAAAAAATCTTTAAAAGTTTTATGAATTAAATACTTGGGGTTAATACTTGATATGATGTTCTTTAGCATTTAAATAATTAGTTAAGCGGGTAGGCATAGAGTGAATGAGGTTTTTTAAATATTCAGGAGTCATAAGTTGAGTCCATATTGCCTAATTTTTTCTTGTAGATCATCTGAAGATGAGGGTCTTTGTTTCTGAATTTCGTTTTTAAGATGATTCCAATAGTTTTCAATGGGATAAAGGTCAGGTGAGTTACCAGGCCAGGGGCCAATGATCTCAACACCATTCTCACACAACCAACTGCTGACAAGCTTGGCCCTGTGACAGGGTGCTCCGTCATGCTGAAACTTGTGGGTATTTGTGATGTTCATGAATGTTTTAACAGTTTAAAATTACAAGAGAAGTTAGATTCACAAGCTTCAGAAGAGTTTATAGTTTATATAAGAAATAACTTAGGCAAGAGAAGTAAAAGTGATTCATTTGTCTAACAATAGGTTGACCTGTTTCTTTGATATGACAGGAAGAGTGCAGTCATTAGATGTTAATGAATATTTTTAAGTTTTTCTTTAAGTGATTTAAGATAAATATGGCTGTTAATTGTGGTGTTAGGAAGCATAAACTATAAACCACCACTTTGATTTGCTGTAATGGCACCCCATATCATGATTTTAGGGCAATGTTTTAAAGTAGAAAGCAATTACTGAGGGTTGTATTGTTGGCAAGACGGGCGTCTAACGCTTGTAGAACGACAACCAAATTGTTCAATTAGTGACTCTTCACTAAGTATTACATCTTCCCAATCTTCTACTGACCAATCTGTCACTGACCAATGCTTGTATTTTTGACAGAAGGCAATTTGGTCTCTAATATTTTTTTGAGAATTTTTTTTTGCCAGAACATGGATATTTAAATTAAATTGTTTGCACAAACGTCTTATAATTGTCACAACACTTGGTGGATCACCAGTTGGGAATGTCTCAGATGAAACTTTAGAAGCACGGGCAAAAGGATGTGCTTTTCCATAATAATGAATACAATTATCTGCCCTTTGAGTAATTGCCTTTGGTTGTCCAAAGATTAGCTTTTAAAATCACTAGTTTCTTGATATCGCTTTAATGTTTTTATAATACAGCTATGTATTACATTAAAACGTCCAGCAATAGAAGTCAATCCTTGTGTGTAGAAGTCAATCCTTGTTGTGTCAAAATATTCTAATAAAGTTCACGTAGAATAACAATCTGAGCATGTTTTTCTGTTGTTAATTCATTAGTTTTTCCCATAATTATTTTATTAACATTTGTTAAAATAACAACAAGCTATGACTAAAACAAATTTAGAGGTTTATAACAAATTTAGAGGTTTATAAATGTTCAATGTAGAAAAATGTTTTAAAACAAGTATATCAAATTTCCTGCAAATTTTTAAAATGTTCCAAACTTTTGATCGCAACTGAATATATATATATATATATATATATATATATATATATATATATATACATATATATATATATATGTATATATATATATATATATATATATATATATATATATATATATATATATATATATATATATATATATACAAATAATTGAAGTTAGACACTTTGATAACATTAAAGTTTTTAATTAAAAACTTATTTTCATGGCGACACTTGGATGCAAGCTCGCTTCATTTATTTAGCAAATTTAATGGTGATGTAACAATGTGGTATTTTCCTGAAATATTTCCAGATGGAGCCAGCTCAATCTGGAAGTTAAGATCCAGCTCTGACTTAGCTCCTTAACTTATCTATATCAAAAATACAGTTTAGGAATGTTTGCATAACATCAGATACAGTTGAGCACCCCATAAACTCTGATTTAAGATAACCAATTTTAATTATGTCAACTTTGTCATCTCAAAATCGAACTAAAAGGTCCATCAAACCTTTCTGAAAAATTGGGATCATGGGTTCATCAAATGAAACATTGTAATATGGTGCATTAGAAAAAGTATATAGTAAATCATTTTGAAAAAATAGAGCAAGTCTAATTGCTGTAATATGACTGGTTATGGTGGGTCTACCTTGAAACAACTTTCACTATTTGGAGTTTTGAAAAAATAGAGCAAGTCTAATTGCTGTAATATGACTGGTTATGGTGGGTCTACCTTGAAGCAATTTCACTATCTCCAGATAGTGAAATTGCTTTCACTATTTGAAAGCAATTTCACTATCTGGAGATATTTTACGAAATAACTTTCCAGCATCACTTAAAAAAATCATTGAACATTTAGAATGCACCTAACAAATTTCAGCTTTAATTGTGGGTGTGTTTATCAGCTCTGGAGATTTAACATTTTTTTATAATTGCAAGAAAGGTCTCATTCTCTCTATCTCTCATACATGGACTGATCTTATTACATTCACCAAAACTACTGGCAAAAAACATTACTTTTAATTCATCTAAGAGTGTAGTTATTAAATCTAATGACTGCACTCTTCCTGTCATATCAAAGAAACAGGTCATCCTATTGTTAGACAAATGAATCACTTTTACTTCTCTTGTCTAAGTTATTTCTTATATAAACTATAAACTCTTCTAAAGCTTGTGAATCTAACTTCTCTTGTAATTTTAAACTATTATTAATCATAAATAATGAAAACTTGTAATCCATACAACGTTTTTTTCATAGTCATACAAATGCTGAATGATTTGATGCAATGTATAACTGTGAAAAAAACTTGCATCATTCCTCTCTAAACAAGATGGTCTTGCCATCAGTCGCATGGTCATGCCATGATCACACCTTGCCTCTAAAGATTGTACTGATTCTTTTAACAATCTTTCAATCCTTCTACAGTTAATTATTACAATAGAACAATTTTATTGGCTATTAGATGGAAGTGGAAAGGCAAGGGCTATTGATCTTTACATATTAAAGGCTTTTGGACAATTTTTCTTTAAACTAATTGACAATTTTTTTAAAAACTATTGAATCATTTCTTTTTAAAAAAGTAATTATGTCTTCCTTGATGGACAACAATCTCTTTGATCATCCAGTTGTGATGAACCTATGTTCCTATGTGATGAACGGTAACACTCTTACTGAGACTTCTATTTTACATTGTTTGGGATTATCCTTCACTATTGAACTCTCATGGAAACCATGGAAACCATAAATACAAGTCATTGAAAAGTTAGCATCTGCCGCTCCAGTGGTGTGCTGGCCCAGAGGCTATGGGGAATCCTGCTTGAGCCTATCGATATTTATCCTAGAAAGGGCCTTTTTTTTGAATTTTTATACCCTTTACTACATTCTGAAAATGATTCACAAATAATATATATTTGTTTTATTTTTTATTTTCACAAGTTCAATTCTATAACAAATCTCTGATTCGAACTGTTGGACTTCAAACGCATATATATTAGTATTTTGCATAATATAATGCAACCGTTAGTAACTTTTGCCTCAAAACAAAGCCGATATTGGAAAAAATAATTGATCGTTATGTCACTTAAATTGCTTATTATATCATTCACCATATAGATAATATTATTTAAGTTAGCCAATGATTATTATGAGAAAGAATTGTGTTTAATTTTGAATTATGGAAAAAATTTTCACATGGATCCAGGTCCAAAACGAGCTAAGGACATATTTTCGTGTCATAGTAAGGAAGGAGGAATGAACTTTCTGGTTAAATGCACTTCCGTGGTGCTCTGTGACAAGACCGTTAAGTCTTCTTGGGGCACTTAAATAACAAATAAAAAAAACTTGTTAAACTGCTTTTTAAAAAATATAAATCCACAAATTTTCCAAAAAAAAACATAAGTCCATATTGTGTAATATATAGAGGTATACCGGATATTTTTGCCGGATATGCCGGATATTGAACTTTTCTAAAGTTCTATAAGTGTTTATGAAAAAACAAGTCTTGCCAGTCTGCAATAAATAGTATCCAGGATCTTACTTTAAAAATCAAAAGAAAAACTGTATGACATGGGATATGTCATGACGAAGTATAGAAAATAATAATTTAAAAAAAAATATTTAGCTGTAAAAACGATTTTTACTTATACATTATTAACGCATATATGTTATACCATTTTTTTCTTGGTTTTATTTTTTTAAATCTTGAACACTATTTAATGTAGAATGGCAAGACTTTTTTCTTCATAAACTCTTATAGAACTTTAGAAAAGTTTGATATCCTGCATATCCGGCAAAATATCTGGTACACCTTTAGTAGTATATTTAATCAGATTGTGTAGGAGTACCACAAATATGTTGAAACTAATATTTAATATTATAAACTTTAGTAACCGCTTTTATTTTCAAAGAACATAGTTGTAAAATCTGTGTTAGTTGAAAGATTTGAATGGAAAATCCTAAAATTGTATACAAAAATATAAAATTTTTTAAAAATTGTATTATTCGAACTTCAAGTTGATAAGACCGCAAGGACTTCTTGGGGCACGTAAAAAAAAAAAAATAATTGTTGTACTGTTGTTTTTATAATGTGTTAGTACAACAGAAAGTGCTTATAAGTACTTTCTGTTGTACTAACGCTTGTACTTTATAAATAATTTTTCATCACTTCTCTACAGCTCAGGATGTTTTTTAAACAATAAAATAGTAATCCTATATGGTTACCATAAAAAACGCGGTAAATTTGTTTTTAAATATATATACAAATTTAAATATATATACAAACGCGGGTCTTCAAATCAAACATATTTTTCAATATCCTACATATATGGGTCTTTTTGAAAAAATCCCACATGTGCTTTTTGGAGCCAGCACGCCCCCCCCCCCCTTTATTGTGCTTAAATTTTTATATACTCCTGATCCCATTCTATAAATTTTTTTTCTCTACAAATCTCTTTTTTTTTCTTTGTATGAAATACTTTTAAAACAACCTAAACACGTTGTATTTAGGCTGGTTCTTCTAATGTGACTAATTTTTGTAAATGTTACATATGCTTTAGCTTCTTCCCATCAACTAAAATTTAATTCTGTGTGACTTGTCATTTAGCTAAAATGCAATTTTAATTGTAACTGTTTCTTCATGCTCATAAAAAAATTAATTTTTTCTTTAAGCTATTTATGAAAAATCATATTCACTTGGCTCATGCAATTATTCGTGTAGTTTTTAGTGAACCATTTTCTTTCTCATTAACTCTCTTTATTGCTTTTAACTTGTGGCTAACTTGATTGTTTTGGTTATTTGTTTAAATTGGTTGTTGTGGTTTCTTACACATTGGAAGTGAATTTTGAAAAAAAAAATCCCATCAAATCCAATCACCATGGTAGAAGTAAAATTTAATGAAATAAAGAAACCAATAAAAAAACAAAAAATAGATAATAAAAATAAAAAGTATGCATACAACAATGTAATTATATTAATGGAAATCCTCAGAATGGAAAAAAAAAACATTAACATGTAAACCTAATTTATGTAGTGATTAAGTAATAAACATCTCCTCAGAGTCATGTCTATTATTACTGGTGTTTCAATGAGGATCAGCAATAATTAATTCCCGCTTTTTAAACTTTAGTTCTGTATTTTCTTAATTGTAATTGTAAGGCAAACATGGGAACCAACACATACTCTAAAGTAAAACAATTTTTGTGATAGCGATTGAAAATTAAACTTTCTGAAAAGTTTTCACTGATTGTTATCTAGCTCTTATTGAGATATCAGCAAAACTTTTTTCAAATGTAGAAAATCTTACAACAATCGGATAGAGGTTCAAGCTTGCCAGTTAGAACAAATTCAACAACATTTACAAACTGAAACAAATACTTGAACACGGATCCATATGAATGGAACAGCATTATAACAAAACAGAATAAAATAACAAACTTATTAACTGCATTACCAGGTGTGTCAGAAATACTCCAGTAAATACTATGTTCATTAACACATCAAAAAAAATTTTTTAATGTATGGTTATAAAACTGAAAGTTTGCAACATGATTCACCTTCATCAAGTCTTTTATTTATCAATTATTGAAATTTTTGAAATAATATTGTCTTACTTGCAGCAATGGCTCATCGAAGTCGAAGCATCATATGACTCTAAAAAAAATACAGAGACATCTGTAAAATAAAGAAATAATAAATTTGTAAAGTATTAGGAAAATAAAAATAAAAACTGATTAAAGTTAAATAAGTAAACATAAAGTAGTGACATACTCTTTGAAGTATTTTGACACTAGTATACTGGTTTAGGCACCTAATCTAATAAGTTTCTCCAGCTTACTATTAGTTAAAAATAAATACCTGCCATATTGATTAATTTGAAAGACTGTTAATAATTTTTTTTATAATAGAATTACAATATTTATGCATAATAACAATTATAATATAATTAAAACATTTATGCATACAAAGTATAGCCACAACCAGTTAAACACTAATAAAAGAAAACAACCAATTTTGAAATAAAACAATTATATTATGTATTTTTATTGCATTGTTTTATTATCATTACATATTTTTATTGTACTGTTTTATTGTTTATTTATAGAATTAAACTTCTAATTGAATTGACTATTAAAACCATGTAGTTTTAGCAATGAATAAACTTGATGTAAACCAATTATGAATAAACTTGATGCAAACCAGCTATGAATAAACTTTTGTTGTTGTTACTTGTTGCTGTTGTTCTTGTCTAACTTTTACGAAAATAATGATTATTAAAGTTAGTATTTTATAAATTTTATATGTAATTATTAGATTCAGATATATATGATCATCAAATTAAAAATATTTATCTAAATTTTTTTGAATCAGAAAAATAATTAATCAAAAATTTTGTTGAAAAATTAATTTTATTGAAAAATTAATTTTAATTTTTAGCATCAATGTGTAAACAAATAAAGAAAGTTGACTTCCTAAATAAATATTGATTTAAATAATGGATATTTATTTTATAGGTAACTGTTAATTGATAAAACTCATTTAAACTTTTTATTATTATTTATAATCTTCTTATGCAAAAACTATATATGAATTTATAGAATATAAGAAAGCTTTTGTTTTTGTTATTAGCAAAACCCTTACTATTGCCACTCCCTGTGTTATTAAAATAAATAAATATAAACACACAATCATCAAAACAGGTGTCCCTAAATAACTGCTGGGTATTTCACTGTAAATATAAGTAATTTTTTAAAAGTAAAAAAAAAAGTAAATTTTTTATAAATATTTCAAACCTGCTATTTGTTCATCATGAACACAAATAATTGTGCTCACAGGTTTAGGACAAATATTAAACTGTTGGGATGTAGGAGCACCATTCATAGCGCTAAAAAGAAAAAAGAAAAAAAACATTTTATATACATGTGGATATATATGTGTATGTATATATATGCATGTGTGTGTATATATATATATATATATATATATATATATATATATATATATATATATCAGGGTGTTAGCCAGTAATAAATTTGAAACAGCATTTTAACAAAATTGGGAATTTGTTAAAATATTTCCCAATCATCCCCCCTCCCCCTCTACTAAGATTAAAATATGTTATATGTTAAAATATATTCTTTTTTTTTCCTACTCTGCTGCATAAATTGATTGGACAGCACCAAAAATAAATAGGGATGTACCGAAGCTAAAATTTTGCTGAAGCCGAAGCTTCGGCCGAAGCCACTTTGCCGAAGCCGAAGCTTCGGCACTATATATGCTTAAAATTTAATCAGCATTCAGATCAGCAGGGGTGTAAAACAAAAAAGGTTCCAAAACTAAGATCCTTGACTAATAATATAGAAAAAATGTATAAAATTGAGGACACAAGTCAGGGTTGCTGCCCCAGGCAGGGCAAAAGCTCTCAGCGCCCCTGTTTGAAAGTTTTTCATTATGTTGTTTCTGATACTTCACCGCACCTAGTTTTTTTTTTTTTAAACTTAAGCTTTTTTGAAACATTCTCCCCAAATTTTCCTACTTCTAGTTCTACTTTTTTTGTGTGCAAACCATATTAATGTTATATAGTGCACAATATCAGTAACTCACATATATTTCCAACTAATCCCAATATTATTCTAAGATAGTTGCTATTTTTTTGATCTTTTATAGCCATACTGTTCTTCTATGTAAAAATCGTTTCTCTTTAATCCTCTATCTAATCATCTAATTTTTAATCCTCTATTTAATCATCTTGTTTGCTCTATCTAATTATCGTGTGCTAGCTGAACATCCTCAAATTTTATTCCCCATAAATTACTGTTACGCATCTTTTCATGTGCTGTATATTTTATTTTTATTTTTAATACACCTTTTGTTAAGAGTGGATAAAAATCTCTGAATATTACTCAAGTAAATTTATCTTTTACACTTGAACATTTTTTCTCTAAATAAACACTCTTAGCTGATCTAGTTGTATCTACAACATAAAAAATCTTACAAACACACTTTATCTTTTTATTGCTATTTATTTTAATATCTTTTTTTTACTTCTCTGTATTCATTAAACGAACAATTTCTAAACTAAAAAAAAACCCAAGTTAAGACCATTTTGTATTCCACTACAACTGTTGTGAACCTGCTGCTAAAAAAAGTACAATTGATAGATTTCTCTTTAACTTCTTTTTTACACACTTTTAAGTTGTTGTTGTTTTTTTATTATTTTTAATTTTACACTACATAACATTTTCTTAAGCATCTATTAATCTTTTACACTCTGAAATTATAGTATTCATTCTTCTTCTTTTTCTGTAATGGATAAATCTGCATCAGTATCTGAAATCAAATATTAACTATCTGTGACAAAAACTTCTATAGTAATCTAACAACTGAGTAGAGTGAGCTTTAAATAAAATAATAAATAAAATACTTTATAAATTTTTTATTTATAATTATATTATTATTTACTTTATATTTATAAATAAACAGGGACTGAGCAGGCTGATATTTATTTGATTTAAATTGTTTATTTAATTTAAATAAATTTTGATGATAAATATAAGAGCTCAAAGTAATCAAAGCTTTAACTTTTAATTTATTTTTAATAAAATTTAAAAGTCTTCATATCATAAGAAGAAACCAGAATATAAGTTTATATGTTTAATATATAAATTCAATATAGAAGTATTCATAATATTAATAAAAGAGCAAGGATAATTATTATCATTGTTTTTCTTCAAAGTGTATGAGGACCTTCCTTAATTTTACTATTATATTCAATATATTTCTACTTATTTATTATCATCCCCTCCATAACAAGACATTTGGGAGTAAATAATACTAAGTATATGGTATAGACTCCAACTTTAACTCTGTAGTTCTGAATTTACAACTTAATTAGACACTGGCAATTAGCATATTTTTATAACTTGTAAAACAGTAGCTTATAACTTTAATTACTTAAAATTTTTTGCCGAAGCCAAAGATTCGGCAAAAAATTGACCTGGCTTCGGCCGAACCGAAGCTGCGGCAAATGTGATGAAGCCGAAGCTTCGGTACATCCCTAAAAATAAAATAACATACCGTCTGTAACATTTAAGATGAATATATATATATATATATATATATATATATATTATATATCAAGTATAAATACATGAAGAACCATTTAACAACATTTTTTTATAATTGACTAATAAATAATAAAATTATACTTTTGGATTTGTATAACATGTTATACAAATAAAAATATATGATTTTATTATTTATTATTTAATTATTTAAACTGTTGTAATGTATTTAAAATGTTAATATATTAAATATATCTTAACATAAAATCTTTTGCATCTTTTTCGTAACTGCACATTCCGGAATGCTCCTTCCATAAGGAACTATTTTAAAAGTATTTTTACAAAATGATTTGTTTTGCAAATTTTATTTCATAATGCGTTATTATGGAATTTTATTTATTTATATTTTTGTACGGAATGTGTTTTCGCATGTGCAACTTCCGTAAAAACAATTCTATTACGGTAGATAAAGATGAGAAATTTTTGCAATTTTTTCAGCGAACAACCCTAGTAATAAAGCCATTTATGTTCAATAAAAATCTTCGCGGAGGAGCAAATCATCTTCTACTTTTAATTATAATTTAAAATCAGCTTGACATCCTTTATGGACAAACACCTACTTCATAATGTAATAAATTGTGTCATCAAAAAAAATGTTTTAAAAATAGATAAGGTTTTAAAAAAAGTAAACACGAGCTCATAAATTTTATATTTCACATTATTACAAGTTTAATTTTATAATTAATAATAACTATTTATACATAAATCGCATAGCAAAATAAAGTTATAATTTGTCTCAGCAAAAACAACAACAAATGTTTAATTATAGAAGAATACATTTTTTGTATTTAACTTATATTTCAGAGGTAGTTTTTAAAAAAAGTAATAATAGCTTAGCTAAGCTATTATTACTTATACCCCCTTGAGCACATGTACTACTTTAAGTTAAATTTGCAGTAAGACTTAATAAGTTATTTAACTTTTAAGCCAAAAATGGCAAAACTTTAAAAAACAAAGAATTTGCGTGCATTAAACCAAATAAATTTGTTATTATTTTGATTAGTGCTTTATTTCTTGCTTTTTAATATAATATTTGCTGACGTTGGAATGCATTGCAAATAATTATTTAAAAATTATGAGAAATTAATTTTACTGCAAGTTGCCAATAAAATCGCTTGAAAAATACCAATTCTCAAGAATTTTTATCGAAGTGACATTTTCGAAGTTATGCAATTGCGTATTTATACCAATAACAGTGATTTTATTTCAAGCTTTACACAATTAATGAATTAGAATTTTATATTTTATTTTTCTATTAGTTTTTAGTAAAAATTAGTTTTCAAAAATTTATATTTAATAGGATTTTTTTCATCTTTAAATAGGGAATTTTAATTTTATGAGTTATCGCATTTGCCAGGGCGCCACAGGGTTAGTTTACACCCTGTGTGTATATGTATGTATCTATCTATATATATATGTGTATATATATATATATATATATATAATATATATATATATATATATATATATATATATATATATATATATATATACTATTTTATTATTATTTTCTCTTAAACACCCAGTAATAAAATTACAGGTAAAGTAATTTATATTAAAACAGTCATAAATTAAGGCCAGTCTTGGCACTCCAAATATTTATCTTTAATGACAATAACTAGACCAACTAGACGGTTAGATCTATTTTAGGAATATTCTCCTCCATCATTGTTTTAAATTTTTCTCTTTGTTCTTTTAAGTTCCATAATTGGAACGCTTCTTTTAATATTGATATAGTATCAGCTTGCAGTTCTTCTTGAGGTAGAGTGAATTTAATTTTTTTACCTTCTATGATGCACTGAAAAATGTTAAAGGCACGAGTTTTACATATAGCAATCACTTCATTTATAAATGATTTTTTATTTTGTGTTGCCAGTAATTGAATAATTATCAGCGAATAGCAAATTTGATTTTTCATTATATATATACTTATATATATATATATACATATATGTGTATATATATATATATATATATATATATATATATATATATATATATATATATATATATATATATATATATATATATATATATATATATATGTATATATATATATGTATATATATATATATGTATATATATATATATATACATATATGTGTATATATATATATATATATATATATATATATATATATATATGTATATATATATATATATGTATATATATATATATATATACATATATGTGTATATATATATATATATATATATATATATATATATATATATATATATATATATATATATATATATATGTATATATATATATATCCATCAAGAAAAACTTTTATACTGCAGGTAAAAAAGTAATGATCAAATAATTTTAAAAACTTTACCAGATACACCATATGTAACGTAGTTAACAGAATACTAATAAACCAGTCTTTATCAAAAACCTTTGATATGTCAAGCGGTATAGTCCTTACCTCACCACTTCCATCTAGTGCACAATAGCACTTTTTTGTTATTAAGGTACAAGTCAGCAGTATAACAAGATGACTAAAATCTATTGATTGTCAGAGAGCAAGTTGCCAGATAAGATATAGAAGTTTGTTGATTAAAGATTCAAAGACATTGCAAGTATATCTTAACTTTTCATAGTATTTGTGTTAATAATGTAATAATAACATATAATAGATCTCCACTCGGAGATAATCTACTGCAAATAGGTGGTAGCTCTCCTTATAGAAAGTTTTACAATCTCATAAAAGACACGTCAAGAAATAAATCCAAAGAATGTCGATTACCAGTAAAT